GGTATATCAATAAGGAAATTAAAGTTTTCAAAAAATCTTCTTTTTTAGTCTAGTTCTTCTACGGGGAAAAAGTTTGCCTATAACTCATGGCAGGGACAGTTGATGGGTGAGTTGTAAGCAGCATGTTGTAACCGCAAGAATTGGTTCAATATTCAATCTACAAATTCCTCTCGCTAGACAAACTATGGCTGGTCATTAATCATTCATTACTTAATAATTGATAATGCATCAATCGGTAAACAGAAATATCAAATACCTTTTAATTAACATGTAAAAGAATCATTATGTAAATATATCAAATTCTCATTTTTGTATATATTCGTTCATCCTTCACAGAAACATCGGAAGTGATATTTATCTGATCTAATAGAATCTAGATCCTTGTCTGAAATATTGCAAGATAAGCCAGGGCCGTCTTTCTGCATGGGCATGCTGGGCAGTTGCCCAGGGGCCCCACAAGCTTGCCCATGATCATGATCAGAGGCCAACAGGGGAGATCAACCTCACTGTTTTCTCAGGTCGGGGAGAGATCATAGATCGCCAACACGGCATAAAGGCACTTCCCTGCATGAGAGGGAGGGAGTTAGGACCCGGGAGACAGCAGGAGAGGGGGAGGGAGGAACTGTGAAGCTGTGTATTCCTCACAGGAGGAGAAGAGAAAAGACAGCCTGCAGCCAAAGGTTCCACACTGGACCACCATGGGTTTAAATGTACTGCCCCTCTCCCTGACAGAAGGTAAGAAGGGAGAGAAGAGAGGGAGGACATAACGTTTTCTTATTTTTAGATAATAAAAATATAAATGTTCTTGATCATCCCCCTCCATACACACGCAATATAGAACCTATGCACTGCACCCCTCACAAACACTGCACCTATCATACAATGCACCATTCACACACACATGAACCCCTCACACAGACACCGCACCCCTCACACAGACACTACATCCCTCACACACACTGCATACTTCATACACTGCACCCTCACAAACTGCACTTCTTATACGCTGCACCTCTCATATAATGCACTCACCACACACACACACACACCTCACACAGACACTGCATCCCTCACACACGCACACTGTATCCCTCATACACTGCACCTCTCACAAACACTGCACCTATCATACAATGCACCATTCACACACACATGAACCCCTCACACAGACACTACATCCCTCACACACATTGCATACTTCATACACTGCACCCTCACAAACTGCACTTCTTATACGCTGCACCTCTCATATAATGCACTCACCACACACACACACACACACACACCTCACACAGACACTGCATCCCTCACACACGCACACTGTATCCCTCATACACTGCACCTCTCACAAACACTGCACCTATCATACAATGCACCATTCACACACACATGAACCCCTCACACAGACACTACATCCCTCACACACATTGCATACTTCATACACTGCACCCTCACAAACTGCACTTCTTATACGCTGCACCTCTCATATAATGCACTCACCACACACACACACACACCTCACACAGACACTGCATCCCTCACACACGCACACTGTATCCCTCATACACTGCACCTCTCACAAACACTGCACCTATCATACAATGCACCATTCACACACACATGAACCCCTCACACAGACACTACATCCCTCACACACATTGCATACTTCATACACTGCACCCTCACAAACTGCACTTCTTATACGCTGCACCTCTCATATAATGCACTCACCACACACACACACACACACACACACACACCTCACACAGACACTGCATCCCTCATACACTGCACCTCTCACAAACACTGCACCTATCATACAATGCACCATTCACACACACATGATCCCTTCACACAGACACCGCACCCCTCACACAGACACTACAACCCTCACACACACTGCATACTTCATACACTGCACCCTTACACACACACTGCACTTCTTACAATCTGCACCTCTCATATAATGCACTCACCACACACACACACACCCCTCACACAGACACTGTATCCCTCACACACACACACACACCCCTCACACTGCACCTCTCACACACACTGCACCCCTCACACACATTACACCTGTCATACAATGAACCCCTCTCACACACACTGCATCCCTTATACACTGAACCTGTCACACGCTGTACCCCTCACACACACATTGCACCCCTCATACACTGCACCCCACAAACACACACTGCACCCCTCATACACTGCCCCCACACACAAATTTTTAATTGCATTTTTTGGAAGACAAAGAGAAGGAGAGTAAATCAAGTAAAAAGGTATTACTGATATGTGAACTTATTATTTAACCATTTATTACATTTAATAAAAATTTATTTTTGTTAATAACATTTATTAAAATGCCAATAGGCAAAGTAGGCAGCTACCTGCACACACCTGTCTATAAGGGACACCTACAGCAACTACAAATATAAGACATGTGCAATTCATTTCATTCCGAATGTCAATTCGGATGAATTTCGGGAAATTCGGACATTCGGATACTTCCGAATGTCCGAATAGCTGAATTCCTGAATTTCCGAAGTGTCGAAGTTCCGAAGCACAGTATATACCTACCTAGTGGAAGAATGAAGAATGTTACACTGTATACAAGTTTAAATAAAAAGTATACAAACATAGCCAGGATTCAGCTGTAAGCATTTGCAACACTTACAAAAATCAAGTAACACACATTCATATAAAATGTAAGTTACTTAGCCAGTCAATGTAATGACAGGAATGCATAAGTAGATAACTCCCTAATTCCCACGGTATTAGGGATCTATCTACTAAAAGTCTGAAAGACCTAAATTGGACTTTCAGACAAATTTACTAATACTAAGTAAAAATTACTTAGTATTAGTAAATTATACGCCTACTCACCACAGGCTGCTCACTGTTTAATAGATATGCCCCTACTCGCGGTATAGCGAGTAGGGGCAGAATTTACTAATACTAAGTAATTTTTACTTAGTATTAGTAAATTTGTCTGAAAGACCAATTTAGGTCTTTCAGCATTTTGGTAGATAGCTCTCTAATACCGTGGGAATTAGGGAGTTATCTACTAAGCGGCTGCAAGAGAAGTGCCAAAGTTCCAAAATGCCGAAGTTCTGAAATTCCGAAGTGCCGAAGTTCCATGTTGCCGAAGTGCCGAAATTCCGAACCGAACCCAAACTTTTCCCCATGCACATCCCTAACAAATATACATGTTTTTCATATTTTTCTGATATTTTCATAAATGTTTTCATGTTTTCATTTTGCTATGATACATGGTAAATGTATCTTTTATTTATAGAGAGAAGAAGCGAGAGGTGCAGGTCTTACCTCTCTAGTGTGCATATTTTAAGGAGCAAGTAACAGAGAATTTAATGTTTTGGGTAGTGAGGGGCGTCTAAGAAGGCTCCACTTACCACTTACTTGAGACGTAAATCTGACTCTGGCCATAAATACTTTCACCTGATGGCACTGAATTTGTGATCCACCTGCATTAGACAATTCCTAAGCTTTAGGTAATTAAATAATGTTCTAAAAATTAGAATTTACTGATTATTATTCTTTGTCAGTTACAAATACCTCAACATCAATGATATATGGAGCTCTCTTCTCCCACTGGGCTTAGTTTCTTATTGTTTGTGGTAGAACCCCCCCCCCTTTCAACCCACAATGACTCACAAATAATCAAATACTTCACACTTAGCCAACTCCTGGATAGATGATAGCCATGTGTCTTCTGCACACTGCTATCCCGGGAGGTAAGAAAAGTAGAAAAGTAGAATTTTAATATAAAAGAATACAAATAGTCCTTTAAACACTAGTATTCCCTTAATAGAAGCAGGTGCTGGTGACTAGTCAAGTTTTGCTGCTGGGGACTTGCTGAAATCGGATTATTTTGAGTAATTGTTTATCTCCCAGCTGTATAATTATCACCAGAAATGACAAGGCAAGGCATCCGAATTTTCATATTATTTTTAATTTAATTTTATCTTCTTCTAGCAGGGAAAGAAGCCCCAGTAACATTCAGTTTAGACCCCTGCGAAGCCGCGGCTCAGCTTGATATATCCATTCTGTTCACGAAATAGACGATGATTTGTGATGCTCTCAGGATGTGCCTTGCTTCCTCTCAAATTATTTTAAAGCATCAGAGTTGCTTTTATTTTCACAGCCCTCTTGTGTGCAATAATTCATTTTCAGAAGAGAGACAGCTTCACCAACATTTTATTCAATATATTAACACATTTGGTGTTTGAAACAGACAAGCAATGGTTCACAACACCAGTTTCACAGTAAGATGATTGGAGCTGCCTAAATAAACATGTCCCTATGCCAGAAATACTTTAGTCAGAGTGGGGAGATATGAAGTGTAGAGGACCACCCATCGCCTCATACCTATATAGTCAAACCTAAATCTATACACATAATCCAAAGAGCCACAATATGTTTAAAAAGAATGATCTATGTAGAACCTATCTTACATTCCGCTCAGTTTTATCAGAGTGTTTATTTGACTTCAACCTTCCTATTAACTAATCCTTGACCAAAGTAGCCTCAAAACTACTTTCAATGAATTCCCTAATCGGACTGTCCCAGTGGGCCAATTCTCCCATGCATGCAAAAGGAAACATCCTCAATCTTATATTTTAAGATGCATATACCATCTCTAATCTCTGTAACATTACATTTCCTCTCTCAGATCACCACCTCTTATCTTTTGTTCTTGAATGCCACACTCATCCAACACCCTCAACCTAATCTTCCTCAACTCAGGAAAATCTCAGGAGAGTTCTCTTGACATCCAGCAACAGTCAGTTGATTTCCATTCCCAACTCTCATCGATCCCTGGGTAAAAGACAAATAGTACAGTACAATATACACACCACTCAAGATAATAACTGTAGTGAAATGTATACAAATACTTAACTTAATTAGTACAGCCTCCCAAGATCGTTACCCAGAAAAGACAACCTTTTAACATAGATAACCACAAGCAACACAGAACTTCGGGATACGGCTGGAAATTAATCTAAAAGGAACATGAAAAATATACACAAAATAGTGAAGTACGATTAACACAGTTTTTTAGCTGAATACAAATGCACTCACAGAATGAAGTAGAATATATCGCTCATAGGGTGCCTCCCCTAGGAGTGGGGGGTTGGTAATCTCTTGACTCCTTATAGGCTTCCTTAATAATGCTCAGGACTCCCAGCAGATAATGGTAGAAAAAACGATGTATTTATTGATAAAAGGTGAATAATCACCATCAATATAAAGTATAATAAAAAAGAACGGTATGGTCCTACGCGTTTCGTTCTGCAAAGAACTTCATCAGGGACCGTATATAAGAAATAAAATCAATATACAATTACAATATATAAAAAAACATCCTATTCCCCCCATCACTGAGTCCTCTTTAAATAGGGCTAGTCCCCATGTTCATTGGTGGTTCTGTGGGTGGTATCCAGTGTCTGTTGCTTGATTGGTCCTGAGAGGGAGCTATTCAGCTGTTTTTCATCCTCCCTATATTGCTGTAATCAAATTCGGCGCGTTCGAGCGACCGGAACCGGAAGTGGAAATTGGAACGCATTTCCGCGTTCCACTTGCGTTCCACATGCGTTCCACCCGCGGCTGAAATGCGTTCCACCTTCATTGCGTCTCAATATAAGTGTATAGTCAGGAAAAAAACAATAAAAGACACAATATTCTATCTGCTAAAGAGAAAAACAATATTAATAACCTTATTCTCTACATTTACTTATGTTAGTTAGTATAATTAGTCACCATTAGATTATTATAATTGGACAGTATCACACAGTGTTTCTTAAAGTGAAAGGTGCACTCAAATTGCACAATTTATATAATATATGTGATCCTATTGTCAAAAAAACATTGTATTTCAAATGTAACATGCATGGCTAAACTATAAGATATATATCAATATCTATTAATTATTAATAAGTGGTTCATGCCACAAGAATTTTTTTAAAAAGAATAACATGAATATTTATAAAAAATAAATTTGAATTGAAAGAAAAATAAATTTTGTAGTGTTCCTATAGAAAGTCTCCAATATTTAGTGGAGTTACACATATACCTAATATCCCAAATGATTGTATTTTACCCATTAATTGATAAATGAATACAAGATAATGTTTCTATCAATATCTGTATGTCTCCAAGATACAAAAAACCAAAGAAAACGTACTCCCAAATATAATTAAGTTCCTAAATATCGAAAAAATTCCAACTAATATATATAATATATATAATAGACAATTCAGCCATATATTTACTTCTACATAACCCATATGGAAGACAGAAGGCTGTATTTTAATCAAAATCACCATCATCCGCAGAAAAATAATGTGTAAAGAAATGAATATATGTATAAAAAGAATCAGTTTTAAATTCTAATCCAAAAAACAAACTAAGTCAATACCAATATTGAGGCCCTTCGGCTCTAGGGTATTCAACCGATGTATCCAAAATGTCTCCCTTTGGGATAGTTTTTGGATTCTATCACCCCCTCGCCAGAATGGAAAAACTCTTTCAATGCCCATAAACGTAAAATCCCGAAAGGTAAATAATGGACAGTTGGAACAATGGGCCGAAACTGAATGAGTTTGAAGTTTCTTCTTGATATTATTTAGATGTTCAAGTATTCTAACCTTTAGGATCCTCTTTGTGCGTCCCACATATTGTTTGCCACAGGGACACTGCAGTAAATAAACCACATAGTCCGAGTGGCAACTAATTTCAGATTTCACCTTGAATGTTTCCCCTGTGATGTTACTATGGAACAACTGTATTTTAGACACTGATGTAGTAATACAGGCCTTACAAATTCCACAGCCCCTAAAAAAACCGATAGTGGAAGAAAGATGGATATTAGGAGGTTTAATAGCATAGCTGGGAGCCAGTAAGTTCTTAAGATTCTTATTCTTTTTATAGATCACCAAAGGGCGATCCGATAAAGATTTTCCCAAAACTGGGTCCTGAAGTAAAATGGGCCAGAATTCCTGCAAACTTTTTTTAATTTTTTGATGGTCAGTATTGTATTGAGTTATAAAGGATGATTTAAAGTTTTTGTTATTTTTATTTGTACTGCCCTTCTCTTCTAATAATGAACTACGTTGTACCGAGCTAATGGAACGGATTTCTTTATCCAAAGAATTTCTTTTGTAACCTCTATCCATAAGCTTTTTCTTAATATATAATGATTGGGTCTTGAAATCCTGAAAATTAGAACAATTACGTCTAACACGTGTAAACTGACTTCTAGCTATACCCCGTAACCACGGTTTATGGTGACAGCTTTGTTGATGTACGTAGCCATTACCGTCTGTGGGTTTGAAAAAACATTTGGTCTGTATTTGTTCTTGATCACAAAAAAGGACCAGGTCCAAAAAATGGATTTCATATTTATTCCATACTGGAGTAAAAACCAGGTTGTACTGGTTGCAATTAAGGTATCGAACAAACTCCTGAAAAGCAACCGAAGTCCTTTTTTGTGATCAAGAACAAATACAGACCAAATGTTTTTTCAAACCCACAGACGGTAATGGCTACGTACATCAACGAAGCTGTCACCATAAACCGTGGTTACGGGGTATAGCTAGAAGTCAGTTTACACGTGTTAGACGTAATTGTTCTAATTTTCAGGATTTCAAGACCCAATCATTATATATTAAGAAAAAGCTTATGGATAGAGGTTACAAAAGAAATTCTTTGGATAAAGAAATCGTTCCATTAGCTCGGTACAACGTAGTTCATTATTAGAAGAGAAGGGCAGTACAAATAAAAATAACAAAAACTTTAAATCATCCTTTATAACTCAATACAATACTGACCATCAAAAAATTAAAAAAAGTTTGCAGGAATTCTGGCCCATTTTACTTCAGGACCCAGTTTTGGGAAAATCTTTATCGGATCGCCCTTTGGTGATCTATAAAAAGAATAAGAATCTTAAGAACTTACTGGCTCCCAGCTATGCTATTAAACCTCCTAATATCCATCTTTCTTCCACTATCGGTTTTTTTAGGGGCTGTGGAATTTGTAAGGCCTGTATTACTACATCAGTGTCTAAAATACAGTTGTTCCATAGTAACATCACAGGGGAAACATTCAAGGTGAAATCTGAAATTAGTTGCCACTCGGACTATGTGGTTTATTTACTGCAGTGTCCCTGTGGCAAACAATATGTGGGACGTACAAAGAGGATCCTAAAGGTCAGAATACTTGAACATCTAAATAATATCAAGAAGAAACTTCAAACTCATTCAGTTTCGGCCCATTGTTCCAATTGTCCATTATTTACCTTTCGGGATTTTACGTTTATGGGCATTGAAAGAGTTTTTCCATTCTGGCGAGGGGGTGATAGAATCCAAAAACTATCCCAAAGGGAGACATTTTGGATACATCGGTTGAATACCCTAGAGCCGAAGGGCCTCAATATTGGTATTGACTTAGTTTGTTTTTTGGATTAGAATTTAAAACTGATTCTTTTTATACATATATTCATTTCTTTACACATTATTTTTCTGTGGATGATGGTGATCCTGATTAAAATACAGCCTTCTGTCTTCCATATGGGTTATGTAGAAGTAAATATATGGCTGAATTGTCTATTATATATATTATATATATTAGTTGGAATTTTTTCGATATTTAGGAACTTAATTATATTTGGGAGTATGTTTTCTTTGGTTTTTTGTATCTTGGAGACATACAGATATTGATAGAAACATTATCTTGTATACATTTATCAATTAATGGGTAAAATACAATCATTTGGGATATTAGGTATATGTGTAACTCCACTTAATATTGGAGACTTTCTATAGGAACACTACAAAATTTATTTTTCTTTCAATTCAAATTTATTTTTTATAAATATTCATGTTATTCTTTTTAAAAAAATTCTTGTGGCATGAACCACTTATTAATAATTAATAGATATTGATATATATCTTATAGTTTAGCCATGCATGTTACATTTGAAATACAATGTTTTTTTGACAATAGGATCACATATATTATATAAATTGTGCAATTTGAGTGCACCTTTCACTTTAAGAAACACTGTGTGATACTGTCCAATTATAATAATCTAATGGTGACTAATTATACTAACTAACATAAGTAAATGTAGAGAATAAGGTTATTAATATTGTTTTTCTCTTTAGCAGATAGAATATAGTGTCTTTTATTGTTTTTTTCCTGACTATACACTTATATTGAGACGCAATGAAGGTGGAACGCATTTCAGCCGCGGGTGGAACGCATGTGGAACGCAAGTGGAACGCGGAAATGCGTTCCAATTTCCACTTCCGGTTCCGGTCGCTCGAACGCGCCGAATTTGATTACAGCAATATAGGGAGGATGAAAAACAGCTGAATAGCTCCCTCTCAGGACCAATCAAGCAACAGACACTGGATACCACCCACAGAACCACCAATGAACATGGGGACTAGCCCTATTTAAAGAGGACTCAGTGATGGGGGGAATAGGATGTTTTTTTATATATTGTAATTGTATATTGATTTTATTTCTTATATACGGTCCCTGATGAAGTTCTTTGCAGAACGAAACGCGTAGGACCATACCGTTCTTTTTTATTATACTTTATATTGATGGTGATTATTCACCTTTTATCAATAAATACATCGTTTTTTCTACCATTATCTGCTGGGAGTCCTGAGCATTATTAAGGAAGCCTATAAGGAGTCAAGAGATTACCAACCCCCCACTCCTAGGGGAGGCACCCTATGAGCGATATATTCTACTTCATTCTGTGAGTGCATTTGTATTCAGCTAAAAAACTGTGTTAATCATACTTCACTATTTTGTGTATATTTTTCATGTTCCTTTTAGATTAATTTCCAGCCGTATCCCGAAGTTCTGTGTTGCTTGTGGTTCTCATCGATCCCTACCTTATCCTGTCCCTCTTTGGCTATATCTTTCTTCAACGCTACCGTCAACTCTTCCCTGGGTGCTGCAGTCCCACTCCAAACACACATTTTTCAAGGAGGACGTGCCTTCAACTGTGGCACAATAAGCCAACCCGCTACCTAGAGAGATGCTCTTGTTCAGTTGAATGCTGCTGGAGGAAGTCTTGCACCGCGTCATTTTTTTTCTCTCGGGGTTCTTTTCCTATCTCTCCTAACGTTCATCCAGTGTTTCCTTTTCTAATGACACCTTCTTCCCTCATCTTGTCATTGTTGTAGACC